TTTTGAACACAATAAGCCCGCTGAGAGTGAAGAACAAGCGGATACTACTCTGATATTAATAAGACCGATACTGTTGTACGCCGCTCCAGCATGACGACGGAGACTACAGACAGTACAAAACAAACCTTTACGAATAGTACTCAACAAATCATTATCTACAAATTTATACATGAACAAATTGACGTACTGACTATTTGAACAAATTAAAAAACTCACTAAAAACTTTTACCTAAAATAATCATCAAATAACAACATCCTGGCCCTTGGCAAATATACTCGCAAGCACGCCATGCCAAACTATATACTGATCCACCCATAGATGTGATTAGAACTTTTCATTTCGCTGATAAAAAAGTGATGTGATTTTTTTTTTAATAATGGACAAAACTATTTTTTTATTGCATAAAAACAAGACACTGTATTATACATATTTTTTTACATATGAATGTACTGATTTAAAATTTGTGATGATGAAGTATAATACTTATACTGTAGACGTACCATGTTTGTAACCCATGTTGTATACATATTGAACTACAATTTTTATTGTCTTATCTTAATTTCATATGCGTAGTTTTAAGTGTGAGTGAATAGATTCAATCAAATAGCTCATGGGATACTCTGTAATCGGATTGCTGGTAAAAATAAATGAAACTATAATTGGCAGTCAATAAGCAAGTCGGATTTTAGACAAAAATGCAGTAAATTTTAGGCATTGACCAAATCGTCGAGCAAGAAGAACGATAGGAAGAATCCTTTTAGGATTTTTTGAGCACAAGTAATCCAAAAACTGTAAATTCTCGATTATGCAAAAGATAAAGTTAAGTCAACCAAGATTTCATCATATAGTTGACATCTGTTTTCTTCGCAACTGCGTTCAAAGAGATTATTCCGCATGGAACTAGGTCGGCGGGAACAGGGCGCCGTTATTCGGCATTTACAAAAACCACCGATCCGCAACAACGCAACCACTTATTATAACAATAACAACAACAGCCCAGCTCACTTTTTATTTATTAGATATTTGATAGACCGCAAATCGAGCTATCTGGAGCACCTAACAAGGGTCACTGTCGCGGAATACAATTGAAATGGAGAACCGTTACGTTTTATTGATAAATTGCTATTTTGTAGAGGAAAACAATCATGCATATTTGCAGCATGTTGGTATATTAAAGTAAAATTTATTCTTTACTTTGTAGCTGATTAAGTTTTTTTTTATTCTTGTCTCTAAAAACAATCAGAACTTCTGTCCTAGGAGCTGTTGTGTTTGTACACCTTCTTTTACGCAAATTTTAGATGGCAATTCAACGGTTAACCTATGTATATTTAGTGTATTTTTATTATTAGAATGTATCTAATAGTGCTTGATATAATAACAAATTCATTAAGCAATAAAAGTTTTGAGCAAAAATTAAAATATGATTAATTTCAGTGTCAAATATCATGGCAAATTCAAAACAATCTACCGATTAGACATACTTAAAAAGTTAGTTGAGGTTACTAAAACAAAGTCATGCAATTCTGAAGATTATCTGTGAGATCTACGAAAATATATTTTTGAAAAATTTGCTTCTTTTAAATATTCAATTTAGCTTAGATAGCAAATGGCTTGTCCTTACGATTGATGACTAAATGATTCATGCAACATATAATGATAAATTAACTAAACTAAATTAATGACAGCATTATGGTACAAGTACTCATGTATTCTTTTTTACCACTTTGACCAATAATAAACTAATAAGTTATTGGCAATAAACAAGCGTTCTGCTTTATACAAAGAATGACTTAAAATTCTTGATTATTAAAAATTCTTGTTGAAATCAATTCGTTAACGAATAAACTCCAAAGAAATCAAATTGCTGGAATGTTGGACTTCAAATTAAGAAAAAAATATATAAATGCAATATCATTCATTCTTATTTTTACCGATGATTCCAATCATCTTCTTTATTACTTATTTCATAAAAATTTATATAAATATAGCTGCAATAAACGGGTATAATTAATTTTATACCCGTAATTTGTATACAATACAATTTTTTATATTGTATTCGCAAACAACGATTAAATTTTTAAAAACATTTATGTGAATCGGATGTTTTTAATGCATGATGAATTATAGTGTTCTTCGAAATAATTAATCTCGATTTGTAATTGTTTTATTATATGGTTTTTGTTTTATGATACTCTTAGTTTCATTGTTGTTTAAATAAAAATGGAAGAAATTTTTACGTTGGTATATTATTAATGAAGTGATGATATTGCCAATGACGTATTGAAAAATGAAAAAAAGAATGCTGTGACGCATAAACTGTTTTTTAACAGATAACTTATTTATGCATTTATTTATTTTAATTCATTAACATCATAAAATAGTATTTTTATGTTTGTATATTATAATTTAATAATCGACAAAAGTTTGATGTCTGATAATGTGAAGCATCGCAAAAATTATGGATAAGTAGTATCAGGTAGTTGAAAATTAAAAGCTAATGAAAACTATTAGAAGATTTTTTAAAAAAAAAATATCACTTTAAGTCAACATTCTTAACTTTTTCTTATAATATATATTTTAAATCTTTCGATTTATATAAAGAAGCATTTGTTTAAAAAAATGTACGAAAAACCAATAGACTCTACATCCACTGAGTCTACTTTAGAACACTACAATAGAAATAAGTACAATCCGAAAGATTATTAGACTATAAGTATCTAAGTCTAATATGGGTTAATCGTGGATAAAACAACCACAGGTTCCGGATTTGATAAACTCGCCTTCCCCCCCCCTCCGTTAAGCTTGATATCAAGCAGTAGTGAAATAATAAAAATAATTTACCACGCAGAAAACGATCAACCTTCAGGTTGCCTTTTAACAAACTCTAACAAGAAGTTAGGTCTCTTATTACAATAATTTTTAGAAAATATATAGTTCTCATAACTTTTCGAAAATAAATATTTATAACAAAAACAATACGGATTAATGAAAAGCCTTTTAATCTTTTTAAAATTTCTATCAAAAATTAGAGCGTAATGAACTATGAGATTTTTTTATTTATCATGATTAATTAGTTTATCATGTTAACACTCGTATCATTTTCAATCTTCATCATTATGTATTAATACATTTTATAATTTATTTTTTTATTCAATTTTTATTCAATTATAAAGGTATTTAAATTTTATGAACCAATTCCGTTGTAAAATAGACCAATCTTATGGCAACGCTATGTTACGCAGCTTTTTTCATATAAAATGGTACTAAAAACAGTCAAAATGTATTTTCTGTACAGTCAGACGTTTTAGATGTGAAACCTAATCTAGAAAACGTACAAACGTCAAAAAAGAATCTTATCATAAGTGCATCTTTGTGATGTGTCATAATATCATACGCGAGAAGTTAAATTTTATGTGCAAAACGCATAACAGCACATACATAGCATTTTGACAGTTTTTAGTATCATTTTATATGGAAAAAAGCTGTGTAACATAACATAAGGTTACCACAAGATTGATCTATTTTAGGACAGAAAATTGGCCTATTATTATTAGAAATTACATGTATTTTTTATATAGTCCTCATGGAGCACGAGTCTCCGGAGTCGTTGAAGAAACACCTGGGAGATTGGAATACGAGGTCGCCTTATATAAAGAGGCGCCTGCAGCGCGAATCACAAACACGTCAGTATTGGGATCAGCAGGAGCAGGAGGAGAACTACCTGTTGACCAGGCTGTGCCAATTGGTAAGCAGAAAGACATTAAATATATAATTTATCAAACTACTATATAAAGATATCATGTCATTTTCACTATTAATATTGATGGATAGAGATCGTCCTAGATCAGTGATTTCCAAAGCGGTCCACATAGACCACTCCTAGAACCAGGGGTTAACGTCAGCGAAAGACGTTTTGGTTACTTTACTTACTTACTAAAATTTTTTGGTTACATTTTTTAATTTATTATCAGTTTCAAAATTCCACTATTAAATGTATAAAAATAAGATGCATCACTACTTTGAATATTTATTAATACATTTTAGTAAAATTGAAAATTTATTAAAAAAAATCTATATCGGGTAAATAGAGTCCATGGCAAAGCCCAAGGAGTCTACGACTCAAAAAAGTTTGGAAACCTATGTTCTATATAATTAAGTTCTATCTGATTCATATTATGCGTTGTTACCATTATATTATGTTAGTATCCATGAATCATTTAATTAAAGTATAATAAAGGTGCGCCGTAAATTAAACGCAATTCAGCTATTTTCTTATTATATAAAACCTAATCAAAATTGTAAACATAATACGTCATCCTGTTAATTACTTACACACATAGTATCAACAAAGCACACCCATTAGCAAAGTATATTTAAATTATTTAATTATACACAGCTGTTGATAAATTGTAAATACAATTGTGCGTATTTCTTAGTTTCTCGATACGATTGTTTTAATTTTTCAGATATTTCATAGTTGAGACATTAGCAAGAGATTTCTAGGAACGAGGATAATTTTATCCTTGTTAATATCTCAAATAATAATAACATACTTGTGGAATTCGAAGTCTGATTAAAACTGTCTTTTTGCATGATTTCATATTTTATATCCGAACTGAAGCATCAATAATATTTTAATAATTTTTTTTGCCATGATATATTATGCAACTTAGCCTTTGGGCCCTTCTATTTTCTAGACCATGTTTACCATTTTATATTTTAGATAAATACTGTTTTTAGAGAAGACTTTAATACATAAGATAAGATAAATTTCGTTCAATTAAAGTATCTACTTAGTTCCACCCATTGTAAATCTCTATATTATTGCATTATACAATTTAGTTATATTTCAATTCTAATTATATTTCTATAGGCACCATCAATAAACGTATAAGTTTACATTTACATTATTATTATATTATACTTTCGAGATTTATCTTAATCATGGCTGATTAGCAAAAATATGGAAACTGATTTGCTAAAATTTGGTGTTCTAAAAAATGTATAGGTTTGTTGAGATATTTAGAATTATTCTGGCAAAAATTTATTAAGGCCCTCGAATTCCAAGATTCTAATGTGAAGATCTTTTTTGATCTTCCTAATTAAAAAAATGAAGAATATAATTGCTTTATTTTACTGCCTAATAATTAATTCAGACGATCATTACTAATTGTAAATGCAATGGTAAAAAACATCAACTATGACATCAACAAAAGCATGAGTGTAATACGTGAGTAAACACTTCTAACTAAAAATCATTTATTTTTTATCGTTTTACTAATTCAAATATTTGCTAAATATAATTTTATAGAAAATACACAATACCTGTATATAATTTTCTTTTCAAATTTTCAGCCATCATAGACGTCTTTACTTTCTTAGAATGCATTTAATATCACGAACTTATACTATTAATTAGATCTGCATTAGGTTCACTAAATTTATTAAGAATTTTCATTCATTGATCATCACACAAACACATAACTTAACTTTATATTTTATTATTTTATTTATATTATATTTCTAAACTTGTTTACCAACAGTATAAAAGAATTTGAGTATTTTACGATATATCAATCATCTCGTATATCAATTTGCAATTTAAACTACAACGATAAATTAAAAAACTGATTTAAAATTATATATGACGAAACAGTAATTCGATGATAAAATTTATGGAGAAAAAAGTTGTTACATATTAGTGATATGAAATAATATTATCGAAACAAATATTACCGAACAGAAAATATGAACACTTTCCATTACGTATTAGATTTTATTGGAGAATACTTCAACATTTATTTTTAATGAATATTAATTGAATAATGCATAGTGTATAGTACTATGAATTCCTTTAGGTAAATACTATTAGTACTGAATACGAGTTCTATTAGTTACTATTAGTATTAGTACTAAGACTATTAGTACTATTAGTACTGACCTAAGACAGATCCGTGAGCTAAGTTAAACTCCAACTCGATTCAGGAAAAGTTAGTGTAAAAGATTTTCTATTGCTATTTTCGCTATTTCACATCGCAGTGGGCTATTTTCTATCGGAAACATATTTTTGATCTATATTTTCAAATGAAAATGAACATCGCTGCTGCACGATGTCAGATGTCCAAGGCAGGGTTCGAACTCCACACGAGTCCGTAATAACCGTTACGCCATGGATCACCCATTTTTTATGTTTATACCTAACTAAATTAAATAGATTAAATGAATGTGCATTAAGCTTCTTTTAGGTGTACGTATTTGGTACTAATAATTTGAATATTATTAGCGAAACAAAAAATATGTTGAAGGTTTGCTTTTGTAATTGTTTTTGAGAATACTATAGAAATTGTGGGAGATAGATGAAATGGTATGTGAAAATATGCGTAAAATTTAAAAATCAGCATATAAGATACTGAGAAATTAGTTTTTGAATGTAAAACTGTTTCAAAAATAATTATGTGTACTTATACTATAAGTACTAGGCTAAGGCACATAATATAGAAGGAAATAATCTTGTTTTGTCTTGAACATTACTCAAAGTTATAACAGGACATAAAAATTTTAGTTATACATATATATAAATAACGAACAACCTATAGTTAGAAATATATATTTATTTCCAGAATTACTTAACGTTATTCCATATTACGTATGTAGGACATAAAAATTTTCGTTCCAGATGCAAAAATAAACTGAGATTTTTTAGAATTAACTATTTCATTGAGAAAGCCAATAAATAAGTTTAATATCCATAAATATAAAAACGAGCAGAAAAGTTACTTTCCTAAACATGATAATATGGTTACTAATCACTGCAAACATATTCTCAATCATAAAATGTTTGTAAAATATACTTATTACTGCAAATATAATTTTAAAAAATCTGTTTTTTAACTTAAGTTTTTAAGTACGTGGTCTTCTTTCAAGACAACTCTGTGGTTTCATATAGCTATATTGATATATTTTGTATCTATTTTTTTCATAGTGGTAATATATATTTTTAATTTTAAACTCCTTGAATGGCAAATTTCTAAAGTTTGTTTTTACCTCAATGGAGAGAACGTTAATTATAAATTTACACCTAACATAAATTAATTATCGCAATGTGGGTCATAACCTTTGTCACTATTGATGTCACATAATTTTTTCAAACAAATAGATCAAGGTTAATTTACGCATGTTCAGTAAACAATTTTAGCAAAAAGTTGTTCGGAATGAACTTTTAGTCATCGTAATATAACTCAGAAATAGTTAGAGAAGTAATATGAAACTTATTTTATATTTTTCGGAACAAAAGGTTGTTTTAAATAAATTTTCAATAATTGTAAAATAACTTATATTACAAAGAGAACCTCAGGTTTACCCTTTCTGGGATTTGATGAAACTTTGCATGGTGATAGAGATAGTCAAACCGAATAATAAAATTTTATAGGCTAATGAGAAGTAGTTTGATTCTAAAAATTAATTAAAGTTCGAAGTTATATTATATATAATTTAAATAATTAGCTAAGTACTATAAAATCCATCGTTTCATTCATTAAATAAGTATTGATGTTTTATTGGATTTCAGTAATTATTTGGTAAAATTCTAGAATATGCAATTGCTATTATTCTGGTTCAAGATCAATTTCATCAGATCAAATAGTATTCTTCCCACTCCCAATTTTTCAACAAAAGTTGATGTATCCATCTTATTTTATATTTGATAGTTGATGTTTTCCACTTTATTTTTATTTTATAGGCACAAAACTTCAACTCAGAGCTCGAATTAATCCGGATTCAGCATGGAAATACGTGAAAATAATAGAAGTTACAGTATCGCCTGATCCAGACGACCCTCGAACTCCTGGTTCAGTAGCTTTGGTTCGCGATGGTTGCAGAGATAGAGATTTTGCTTCCATAATTCCACACCAGCCAGCAAGGTAAAATATTATATTCATCTTTCAATCAATCATAGTAGGATTTAAGTAGTTACTTCATTTTGACTGATTGGAAATAACGTAACTCAATTATAATTAATTTACTGATCACGATTAGTTCATTCAATTGTATCATGTGAACTATATCTCTTCGGCAGCGATCGCTATGCAATTAACACACTAATTTTCACTTAATCACTCAATTAACTTTTAAACCTAGATATCGTGAGAAGCACAACGAAGTCTTTCTGGACTTCGAGGCGTTCTTATTGTCCAGCATGCGAGAAAGGAGCACGCTCTGGATTCATTCGCAGATCAAGGCCTGCATGGATGCAGCCGATTGCCAACCAGACTTCTGTTTAGACCTATTCGAACCATCAGGTGAGTCTTGTAATAATAACTTATTTAGTTTACTACTAATCAGTGATTGGAAACCTGGGTAAGAGGTTTTTTGAACAATGCTTAAAATTTAATATTTATTACCAGACTAATTTTATACCAGACTTTTGCTTAGAATTATTCGAATCCTGGGGTGATTGTAACACTGACGTAATCATTAGAATAGTAAAATCATTAATAACTAGATGACCCGACGGACGTTGTACTGTACTTATGTTTAGAATTCAAAAGCTCCAATTTTTTGTAATAACCTATACTGAAATTTACCAATTAGTTAAAAATTATTATGTTTTTTTACACTACAGTCTATACTGAAATGTATATACATCTACCCATATGGATCTTACATGTACAACTGCATTAAATAAAATTATGAGTATTTGCTTTTTTTGAAAAACATTATAAAACATTTTCTTATAATTAGTTCTTTTATCGATATCCGACGTTATTTTAAAAAAAAATTAAATTACACCACTGAGAGGGATGTCATCCCCCCGGGAAATGGCAAAGGAGTCCAAATTATTTTCACTTTTGAACTTGAAAGTAAGGTAAACCTAATTTAAAAATTTTATACAAATTGGAGCACAGTAAAAAAATTCAGACCCAAAACGCTCCATTGACTTGAGTAAATATTCCGTCCGATGCAAAATATGAAAATACTAACGTTTGTATGTGAAAAAGATAAGGGCTCTTTTTAGGGTTTTCCCGGCAATTATTCTCGTCGTAAGAACCATCCTTGACTTCAACGAACATTTTAAAATAATAATTGGCCAAATTGGTCCAGGCGTTGTTGAGTTATGCGCTTACACATTTTGCTATTCATTTTTATATATTAAGAAGGTAATAAAGCAAATGCAATAAATCAGTGATTGGTACCCTATGTTGAAGAAGGTTTTTTTAACAATGCTCCAGATTTAAATTTTTTTACCAGACTAATTTTTATATCAGACTTTTATTTAGACTTATACGAATCGTCAGGTATGTCTGTCACTGGAATTGATTATAATACAAATCAATAGAATGAATAATAAATTTATTATTAATAATAGAGCAAATAAAATAAATCAGTGATTGTTACCCTATGTAAGAAGTTTTTTTAACAATGCTCAATATTCAAATTATTATACCAGACTTTTGTTTCGAGCCAGGTGAGTCTGTCATTGAAATTGATTGCAATACTGATCACTAGAATGAATAATCAATTTATTATGAATAATAGAGCGAATCTGCTAACTGAAACTTGTGAAGGTTTTTTGAACAATATTTAAAATTTAATTTTTATAATCGAGTATAAAAAACCACTAGATATAAGAATTCATCAGGATTCTCTGCGATAATGTGGACAAATAGTTTTAAAATTTTCTGCAAATTCTAAAAAAACATTTTAGACGATTGTCTTGCAAAATTGAATAGAGTAATATTCCTATTGACAAATGTTCGAAAGTCTAATTTGCTGCAAATTCAGCAGATTGTAGAGATCCATGAGCTTGGAGATGATTTATGGAGGTGAAGTCCTTATCGAGTTTAATCTAATGTCTTAAATTTTTGAAATCGGTTCAGCCGTTTCGGAAAAACGTCGACAAAAGGTCTAATTTTCCAAAGTTGGTGCCATACGAATCAGAAAGACTTGAAATGCCGAGAACATAAAATTATCAAATCGGATGTTCTTCTTTGGGAAGTTTTTAATATTTGAAATTATTAAAATAAAATTGAAAATATAAGATCAAAATAAACTGGCCAGATTTATAGAATCACTACTAATTTAATTTAAATCGAATAGTTGAATTATGAAGTTATGAAACTTAAAGACATTTGAATTTTGTCAATGAATAATTATGAACTTTTTTTGGAGTAATTTATTGTATCTGGCTGGTGTGTAATACCTCCCCAATATCTTATTGTTAGCAAAAAATAATGAGCTAATTTTAATAGAGTTTTGATTAAATGATATTAGTTTTATTCAATAATTGCTGTAGAAACTAATTCTAAACCAAGTGTTAGTGTTAACTTCGTTCGTCTCTATTAACACACCTGATTACACGTTTATTGTCTCTAATAACACTCTCTACAAAATTCATCTCTATATGTCACTATTTGTCTTTCGGAATATATAATCTACTCACACATATACATTATTATTGTGTTATTCTACCCATATGTCATATTATTTACGTCAATAGTAGTTATTCTTTTAAATTATAAGTTTGCAATGAATCTCAAACAATTCATCATTGATATTTTCTAATAGTGCACAATATTAACTCATTTCGCTTTAGAATAAGTGCTGTATTACGTGTTAATTAGTAGAAAAATGTAACAAAATGCCGGAAGGCTATCTATATTTATAATTTAGATATATGTTATAAAAGTTTGTTTAAGAATTTGAAAATAGACTAATAGTAATCTCTCAACTACAGATTTAGTTGATTTCCTACTGCGTCTCTGATCTAACCGAACAATTCAATTAAACAACAATATGATCGCGATGACTTTGCAAATCGTTTTATGTATTTGAAGTTCAATAGTGTTATTCAGAAACACATAATATAATGCCAGCAAAACCAATCGAATCGAGCGAATAACAGTTGTATCTATGCTAATAAATTGATTAATATCAAAATCATATCCCGCTACTTTCATCCATTCAACGGCTCCAAGCTTTGTGATAGAATCAGATCTCGGGTACCGCATTTTAATATAAGTATAATACAAATCCATTTTAATAATAATAATAATATACATACATATATATTTAATATAATATATATATATACATATATAATATAACAAACGACATACAGCTGCGGTCAAGTGATCAATTGCAATAGATTTTTTTTTTTTGTTACAATTTATTTTTGTTAATTGCAATAGATGATAAATAATATCTAATAATTATAATCAAAAATTTAAAGTACATAATTTAATGCTTAATCTAATAATAATATTTAAATTTACAGACTCACACTATTTTTTACAAATTTTTAAATTTACAAATTCACACTATTTTTTAATTCAGAACTGTACAACGTAAGCCACGGATGGTAGACTCTACCAGTCGTAGAGTTAAATTAAATAAAAAATATAATTTGGTGATTAAAAGATGAAGAAAAAAATTGCTTGCTGTTGAAATTAAATAAAAATTTGCACAATACGCGTGATTGTTTTGATGGTTTCCAATTGAAATGTTAGGAACTTATTTTTAACTTCCCGTAGGGTAATTAACTTCCCGTAGGGTAAGTTATAGTAATCGCAAAAAAATCGAAAATGAAATTTTTTATATATCTTTACGTTTCAAAGGTTTCTGAACATTTTGGCATACCTTAGAAAAAATGGATGTATGTGTGTGTGTGTGTGTGTGTGTGTGTTTGTTTGTGTGTGTGTGTTGTGTGTGTGTATGTGTGTGGTATGTATGTATGTGTGTGTATGTATGTGCGGATACAAATTTTCGTCGACGATTTCGGGAACACGGATCAACCGATTTGAATAATTCAAAAAACATTCGATTCGTATTGATAAGGAGACGTGCTGATTAGTTTTTGGCGAAGGCAGGTCTAGCCGTTCCGAAGATACGGGGCAAAAAGTGCCGACAACGGTAACTCAGTTTTTAAGAGAACGGAGCGTCCGATTGAATAATTCAAAAAACGTTTCACTTGTATTGACAAGATGAAGAATCGATAAAATTTTCATGAAGGTAGGTCTAGCGGTTTCGGAGATATGGAGGAAAAAGTAAAAAATGAGCCATTTGGCGGTCAAAAATGATCATTAGACATATGCACATCAAATTATCAGATATTTTATAGAGATTTTAACAATAAGTATACTTTTGTTAACATTCCTATGGGTTCCGTACCAATGCTTATGCGTTAGACAGCGACGCGGCACTTACGCGCTTTATATTTTGTCCCTATGCAGTTAAAACAGTACGATTGCTTTGAAAAAAGTTCAGATCTTCCACAATATTTAAAATAAAAAAAAATTTTTTTTTCAAAAAAAAAAAACAAAAAAAAAATTAAAAAAAAATTTTTTTTAAAAAAAATTTTTTTTCAAAAAAAAGTAATTTTTTGGCCAATTTATAGTTTCTCAAAAATCTTATTTTTTTCAAAGTATTTTTTTTTCAAAAATGTTAATCGTGTTTTAAAAAATAATAATTTTTGGTACGGGAAGTTCCAGCAATTTGCCTTAAGGCACGATGCCTTAATTGCCTTAAGACAGAATTCCACTTACAGCTAGTTTTTTACTTTTTTGCACAATTTCACAGTGAACACAATGCCGGTTTGTCACATAAAATTAACTGAGCAGAAAACAATGAGTAGCTGTCAAACAAATGAGTAGCAGTCAAACAAAAAATATTAGTTTGTAGTACATGCTAAGTATCAGAGATGACGCTGTATGTGAAAAAAGAAAAAGTGTTTTCGCTTTTCTGTTGAAACCTTTCTTCAATTTTCTTTGCTATAAACCTCACGGAGTCCGAGACCTTTCCAACGAATGCAAAATCGTCGAAATCGGTTCGTGCGTTCTGGAGTTATATCGTCAGGAAGGAAAACCCGACTTATTTTTATATAATAGAATATAAAAAAGCAAGGAATTTCTCCAATGATCAAATGACTACAAACACTACTATATTTAAAAATAGTTTTGTGTCTTAAATTAAAAAATATATATTGTTTACATTATATACTATAATTATGAAAAGAAATACTTGTTGTCAGTAAAAAGACAGATCGTTCTTTAAACTTTTACCCCAAAATTATGCTTTCTTTGAGCGATTTGAGATCTTTGCACACGAGCCAGTGGATTAATCGATCCTAAATGAAACAGTTTAGCAATGTGATATGTATTCTTAGTTAGTGAACAGTAATTTTATTTTGAAGCTAATGACAATCATTTTCTTAATGTGCAAATTTGAAACAAATTAAGTTCAATAATTAATTAATTAATTAAGTTCAAGAATTATTTCTAAAATAGAGAACAAAAAACTGATATTTTGTTTAATTCACTGACAATGAGTTGATAGAAGCTCAAAATTGTGTCATATGCCCTAAGGTCAGTGTTAATTTCATGATATAACCGATAATATGTTCATTTCATTAACTTAATATTATATTGCATAGTTTTATATCATAATTTAAAACTGTATTGATATATTTAGCGTGTAGTAATAATTAAAATAACAATTAATATTGAATTAAAATGGTATATTATTGCAAAAGTAAACTATTAATTTATAAAAAAAATCTAAATCTGTAAAGTGAAAAAAAAATATTTTAACATAATTTATGCCAGCTTTAAAATCCTCAGCAGAATCTAAGGCCATTAACATAAGCCGAAGTTCAAAAGAACACGCGAGTTGTGATAAATATTGGAATTTGATCTTTGCATATTTTATAGTAAAAGATGTATTTCAAGTAACTCCAAGATCGTTCGTAATTTTTCCAATAACATCATAGATAAAAAAATATTGTCTTTATATTATTTGGTATTGTAGCTAATCTATATTTTGTGATAAATTGGCAATAACCAATAGTATTTGCACCTAGTAAGGTATTTAGGTACAAATATATAATTAGGAACTAGGAAAACTGAAAAAATTAAAATATATATATATATATATATATATGTATATATTTATATATATATATCCAATTACCATTTAAAAATTTATAATATTTTTTGTTGTAGGTCATGGACGAAGAAAAAGAGAATTATCACCCGAGGACAAGATGTCACCCCGAGCATCAGCCCTTACCCAAAGGTAGGAATATATAGTATTGTATGTATAATAAATTTCTCTAATTATATTTTTAATATTAAACATATTTTCGGTTGTACTTTTTCAAAGTTTCAAACATTTTAATTAGTTTATAATTAGTCACCGATAAATAGACGATATCTTAAAACTTAGTTAATTTTAGTTTCGATCAGAAAATATTTTCTGATTTATTTGCGTCATCGATAACTATGTAAATGTAGATTTGTTATTAATATATTGTAAATTTAGTTTTTATTACTTCAGCTTTGATTTTTTTCTAATTTTTTGTGAATAGCCTCATTATACCTAGATTTTTATGTTTTGAAAGCGGATTTATAAGGTCATTTATTTTCAGTGTCACTGAATTACATTCTTCTACTAATTTAGTTATTTTGAATCTTTAATGTAATCAAAAGTCAATTACTTGAGCATTTATAGAAACTATCTAAATATAAAACATAACTGATGAATATCTACGTTTCTACATTATTTTTGTCTATTTATGAGACAGTGGAGCTAATTATAGTAAAAGAACTTTGACCAACATATTTATAGACAATTTATTTGTTACCTACTTTTGATGTTACCTTTCAATAAAAAATAATGTTTAATGCAGATTTAAAACAAGACGTATATTATTTGCTGTTAGTTTTTTTTACCAACCAGATATTCTTCAAATCACAATTAAAAACTGAAAATTGGTTATCAGATTGGCAACTAAGTAAGTGCGGATCAACGACATTTTTCCATGAGACTAACGATATTTGTTCTGTAATTCATTGTCCATTTTAATTAATGACTTCTTATCATCTTTCAAGCAACATCATTATCATATTTTCATAAATCTTCTGGTTTTTATTAGCAAAGGTACCGAATTTGTGATTTTAAGACAGTGGTTTCCAATCTTTTTTGCACCGCGTCCCCCTGCTCTAATAAAAAAAATGATTGCGCTCCCCTTAATTTTTTCAACAACTTAATTTTATAAATACTCAAATGATATTATCAGACTAAAAACAAACAATCAGACAAACTAATATGCAATATTATGTAAACATATGCATAAAAACTAATAAATTTTTGTTGATTTTTCAATATTATTTCAAAAGTTTTGGGGAGTTTTCGAAAATAGTATTTTGGAAACAACACCTCTGAGGGAAAACGCTCCCTGAAGGCAAACCGCCATTTTAAGATGACTTCACCTTTGCAGAAATTAAAAAGCAAAATATGACAAAATATTCTGGCTGAATTGCCTGCTATCAAATAACAAAAGTATAAATAACTAAAAATTCTATTGAAACTATCTAAGATTAAAATCCGCACTTACTTAGTTGCCAATCTAATACATATATGAATTTGCCATTAAATCAATTTAATCATAATTTTATAATTTGTATATATAGTATATACATATAAAATTATGATTAAACTAGTGGTGTATGGCATCGTCCCTTAAGGCAAATTGCTGAAACTTGCCGTAACGAAATGATCGAGGAATATAAATGTTTTCAAATAGATTATTATAAATTGTGTAACATTTTGTAATATTTATAACAATTATATAAACTGAATTACAAAGTTAAAATTATTTAAAGTATGTAAGTGAGCTTCAGAACTTTAGCCAGAATTAAAATTAAAATCTGAATTATTTTCGATATCCAAACATTTTTTTTTAATTTTTACCTATTGTTTTAACTTCTTCAAATGAACAATAAGAATTGGTTCGTAAAAACTAGTTATAGATTATTTATTATCTAATAATATTATTACGGTATTTGCAATTGGTTTCTTGATATTTATATTTTCCTTCTAAGGTATCATGCAAACGACACGCAATACACGCGTTTCCAAGACAATATCGAGTACACGGTGATAATGCCAGGTGAGATGTTCCACGACGCCAGCGGCAAATCAGGTGAAGGCGCCTGTGGCGCATTCCTGGCCATCGCGGTGGTACTGGGCTGTTTGCTTTTCCTGGCTGCGTTCGTGGTAAGTAGAATTTTCAATGCTTTTACTTGAAAACCACATGTAAATAAGTTGTCTCGGTCGAGTAATACATTCTTAGAGCTGTGATTGTAGATTTTGTTGTATATAACTATATAGAGCAAAATCTATAGGGTAGAGCGGGGCTAGTTGAGCATAGGGGCAAGTTGAGCAATTGAAATATCTCGAAAACTATTCACCGTCCGTTTAGCCATTATATGGCGGAAAGATAGAGGTTTGGGAAAAATAAACATCTCGCGATTGCTAGTGGCCGCTGGACAAATGAGTGAGGCTCACGGGCGTTTTGTTTATTTTGAGACCAAAAAGTAAAAAAGTCATTCATCACGAGTTTTCGTCTGGTTTAGTCAAATGTTATTTATTTTAAATCAGGTAAATGTTATTCTTCCATATAATTATTGTACTTTTAATATGCACAGAGATTCTGGGTATAATTCTCACGGTTTTTTTATAAACTCACTTTAATTTTGAAATTCCGAGTTGGGGTTAGTTGAGCATAGTTGCTTGTTCTGTCACTTCCAGAAATTAATTATTGTTTTTAAGATTCAAGCTAAGTCTATGAGTAATAATATAGAGAAATAATGATTTTAAACAAAAATACTGAATATAATGGTATATAGACCATCTGAGTCCAACTTCAACAGAATTAGCAGTTAATTAAGGTGACCATATTTTTTAGGTCAAAACCGGGACGGCAACTTAGTAGTTGCACTTATCCGGAACAGGCAGGAAAATTGCTAATTTTCGTAAAATTGAAAACAGAAGTGAGATTCTATTTTAACACTTTGGTATTTTGCATTCGCAACTTTTCCCATTCATAACCTATTATTTCGTAAAAGCATACTCGTTGTTTACATAATTTTCAGATATTTGATGGTTATTTGTAATTTTATTATTAAAATTCAGTTCATACCAATATTTTTTTAAAAACCCTGAACAAAACGATGAAATCCGGGACAAATATTGCTTTTAGGAAAACCGGGTACACAAGGTGGAAATCCGGGACTGTCCCGGCTAAACCGGGACGATGTTGTCACCTTACGTTAATAGATATCTAAGAGGTCGTTAATTAATCACGTTTGGTTTAAAAAGAGGGAGGGATTTAACCAAAAAGCTCAAAATATTACATGGTGAAAGAGGGGTCTAGTAATAGAGTATAAAAATGAAAAAAAAAAATCGTAAGGATTTTTTTCTCTATGCGCTGAATCTCATTCCCATAGAGATAGCATCAACTGTGATGTATGTTGAACTACAGAAAGTGTTGCGATATTAAGGATAAAGTGACATATTGACGTTTGTACGATTTCTGTCCAGATTTGAATATTTTGTATTTATTTATTTGCTTTTTTGTTTCATACGATTTTTCTTTCTTGTTTTTTTAATTTGTTTTTTTTTCACGAGTACTCATATTTTATAACTGAATTAAAAAAAAAAAAAAAGTTTTTCTAGGTACTAAAAATACAAGTTATCCTGGTTGGGGGAGAGGATTTAACTTTAAATATTACCACGTATCACCAAAATGTCCAAAAATCCTTAAAAATCAATCACGCGATTAATGGTCGGCCTTAAAGGCCGAGAAGGCTTTGTCAGAATAAATGAATGAACGATTTTTTAAATTAGTCGAATGCTAACGTGTTAAATTTGACATTTAGCTCAACATATATATTGTTGACATTGGATACATTCAATGTTAATAGACAGTAATATTTCAATTTGTATAATTGAAAATGATAAAGTTGTTTCTCAACCAAATAGACACCAGCTTTATATATAATACATTTAGGCATTTCAGAGAATAATATGATTTTATAAAATATTTTTTGAACAACAGTCAGAACTTTGTGTTCTATAAGATGTTGTGATGTAAGTTAATTAATTTTGTGAGATTTAGCAAAACGCAACGCAGTAGTTGTACATTCTCTTTGTGATCATGTTACTGTTAGATACTTCTAATAGGGATGTGATATGTAAAATAATACTTCAATAGGTTATATTCACTTGAAATTATTTTAATCCAGTCATTATAGTAAGCTCACTTTGGAATTCGAGATACTCAGCTGTAAGTCCGTAAATACTTGTATATTGACATCTAAATTGACACCCTATCATATGTAGGTTTTGAGACAACTTTAGGGTGTCAATTTACAAGTATTTACAGATTTACAGCTGGGTATCTCGAATTCTGAGATTCTTACCTAATTTAAGCTTAAGTGACTGGGCTATTTTTATATCTATATTTTCAAGAGAAAACCGATTTAACTACTACTGAGGATAATTTTATGGTATAGAAATAGTTTATAGCTTTGCGCAAAATTTGAAAAAATCTTGAATTCATGAATCTAGATATTAAATTTATCATAGGAGTTTCGGCTTCTCAAAAGCCATAATTTTCCAACCTTGTTAATAAATCATTAATAATATCATTTAAATATTCTACGTATTATTTTTTGCGTGATATTTATTTATTAAATGTAGCAAATTGCTGCAAAAAGTTGTTCAGATTAAATTTCGAAAGTTGTTCAAATCAAATAAAAAGTAATTATGAATTTAAATTCTAATGGATGATGTTCAATAGCATCAGCGCATTGCTTCATTATCACAAAAAAATTGCACAATACTTTGAAAATACGGATCGATATGAACTGTAGGGTAGTACAGCACAAGTTCGTCAAATAAAAATATAATTCAAAGATCTCAAAATAACATTCTTAAAGCCTTTGTAAATGGCCCCTGATACGTAATAAGACCATCTACAACTACTTAGATAGTTTCCGAAGGAAGGGGTAACATGAGCAATAAGTATCATCATTATCCAAAAAGTGAGCACCAATTCTAAGAGATAAAAATACCATATATTGGATGCTTGAACATTTTCATAAAGGAATCTTCTCGCTGGAAAGGACACATTTAGAACAAAAAAAAAAACAAAACCAATATAAAAGTTTCCAGATCAGGTTACAAAAAAGTTCTCCATAACAATAGTTCTCCTTCCGAAGCAGTAAAGGCTGAGAAGTTTTTCTGTTTTTTTATGTCGAATCAGAATGAATAAAATCAATTACACCAGTAATCTAGGACACGGCTCCAATCTCAACTATCTGACGATATAATTTTCTATAATTTCAATGATATCATATCGTTTAGAGAAGTAATGATATGACGAGTCATAACATAACATTGACCGGATCCGGGAACAACTACTCCACGCCAGACATAGATTAGATAAGAAAATCACGCGAGATTCTTATTTGAAAAAAAAAACTATTTATCGCGCTATAATTGATGTAATTCATTTGATATCGGAATTGAAGTGATTTATAATAATGTGACAATTGGGTATTAATAATATAAATATAGGAATATCGGGTTTGCGTGAGGATGGGTCATGGTAATGATGTTGAAATCTACGATGATTTTTTCCCTGAGATGAGCCAAAAATTATGAAAATATTAAACTGTTATAATTAGGAGGATTAAGTGAGTTTAGTGGTAAAGGTAAGGAAACATATGTAATAATACATATACATTAGGGCGGGTCGATTTAAAAGTGACTAAGGCACACATGATTTTCGGATTCTAGGGATCAAAATAAGATACTTTGCTGAAGAAACTATACTTCAAAAATGAATTCTAATTTGCCGTGCGTTGACCCAAAGATTGGGGTCAAATTTTGAAAAATTCCGTTTTGACCCATTTAGAGTGCCCAAACCGAAAAAAAGAAAAACCGACCCCCACTTTGTAAGGCCGATCCCTCAACAATGAGCATGTTTCACAAAAAAAGGCAAGGACAGAGAATATATATTTCGAATGAATTGTAAAAAGTTTCAGAAAATTAGATACATAAGGTTAAATAAATATATTCTTTTAATTTTATGCATTTTTTATATTTTGTGAAATACAATTACCCCCTTAAGGAGGCCCCCAAGCAAATTTTGATACTGGGCTTCGCCAAAGCACGCTACGCCCCTGTGTAGCAGCCTAATGTCAAGCAGTAGTAACTTGGATTTTCAGTATTACAGAAAATATAATAATGAAAATTCATCACATAGAAATAGAATATCTGTTTGGGTTGGTTCTTCATAAAAAAGACGTAGTTTATGAGGAATCCATCAAAACAGCTCATAGAAACCTCAAGTTATTATTTCTGTTCAAATAAAAAAAACACAAATTATACAACGAAACCACTGAACTATAATAATATAAAACATGATTGTTTTCTAAGAATTTGTTTATGGGGTACCTTCCAGAAAAATATTTATTTCAAACTTTATCTCATAGATATTATATCGTTTTTTTCTAAATATTGTATCGATAGTGATAAGTATGACGTCGGTTTGTTATTAGTTTTGATTGCATCAATACGTCATTGGTCAATAAAGTTGCGCAATAAGTTTCTAGCCTATTGACGGCAAATAGACTATTTATCGACCTAATTAAAAACAGAAATTTGATTTCTAGTGATGCTTATTTGATTATATGCTAAAATTTTCGTTATTAATTAATTTTACGTATGGATATAGCAGGCTTCTTAATCACGAGTTCTGATATCAAGCAGCAGTGATATCCGTTCCTACTTTTTTCAATTACTACAATTGCCTTGTAACAGGGTCCAAAAGAATATAAAAAGATATCACAATTGGCAAGGACAATCATTGTATTGCCTTCTAATAGCGTTCATAAAAATAATTAACCTTGCAATAAGTTCATTTTCACTGTTACAATAGCTCTTAGAGTACATAGTTCTGATTGCTTTCTGATAACGCAAAAAATGAATTGTGTAAAAAAATGTCTATTTGAATAGCAAAAGAGCCGGCCGTTGTGTAATGGCTTAGATAGAACTTGGGTTAGCACAAACTAATCGCAGGTTACATGCCAACCTTGGTCAGTTCGATATCAAGCAGTATAATATCAAATTTTCACTTTAGGTTATGGATCTCAAATATAATATCAAGTGAGAATCGCCGTTTGTGGGCATTGCTGCAACACTTACAC